GGCAGCACAAAGGTCCAGGGCCCAGGCAGGCGGGAGAGCGGCAGCAAACAGCAACGGCAGCCTGATGCTGGGGTTAAAATTTGGGCTATACCTGCTGTATGCAGCTGTCCAGCCTCCCAGAAAGAGCTCCGAATGCCTCAGCCTCTTCCTCCAGCACTGTCCTTCATTTGTAGCTTTCTGTCCTGGCAGATACGATGGCAACTCACTGCTGAGCAGCATCGAGTGCTACGATCCCATCATTGACAGCTGGGAAGTGGTCACCTCCCTGGGGATGCAGCGCTGCGACGCGGGAGTCTGCGTCCTGCGGGAGAAGTGATCAGGAGGGAGCTCACAAAGAAAAACGTTCTAAAAGGTCTCGGCTGGAGGAAGAGTCCCGAATGATTTGCGGTCACTGTTCTTGAGAGTTGTGGATGCTGTGGGAATAGGCACCAGAACAGCAGCTTTCTGTGCTGCTTGTGACTAGAGCATGTGCATAACTGTGTGATCTCAGCAGTCATTTGAAATCAGGGGCTCTGTGGGAAGCTGGAGGAAGGAGATGAATGGGTCAGGAGAAGCTGCACTCTCTGCTGTTCCTGCGGCTCAGTCTGTGGGCAGAGCAGAGTTGCCCCAGCCTGGTCTCAGCCAGCCTGGTGACCCCTCCCAAGGACATGTACATACCCCTGGGTCACCTCTTCAGCGGGTCCTCGGGTCGCTCTCAGCCGTGTGGATGTGTGAGGGTGAGCCCAGCTGCTCTTATGTTCCAGCTTCAAATCATCGTGTACGTCCTGAATGTTCCAAGGCGCTCTCGGAGCGCGTGGCTGCAGAGCCGGGCTGGCTGCTGTGTGTGAGGGGCCTGCACTGTCACTGTGTCTGCAGGGTCCTCGCAGGGCTGCTCACAAACGAGTCACAGGTCAGAGCTGTCAACTGCTGGGAGGCAGAGCTGAGGCTCCGGGGGCAGAGGGCAGGGGAGGAGCTCGTGGCCCGCCACAGAAGCGTCTGCAGTGTTTGTGCTCTTGATCAGGTGCTCAGCAAGGTTCATCACATCGTGTTTCCTCAAAAAGCTTGACAGCTCCAGCTGCAGTGGATGTGTGGCACTGGGAGCTTGGCCATGGCTGTGTCCCACCTGTGAGGAGGTCACCTGAGCTGAGGCCAGGGGAGTAGGGACACAGTGGCTGCTGCCCACCGAGGTCCTGCTGGGTGAGTCACCGGGGTTTGTCCCCAGACAGACCTGAGTCCGGCACACCCAAGGCAGCCAAGTTCATTGTTTCAGTGTCCAGGTTTTCCTTTTATCTAGGATTTTTCTGCTTCCAGGGCTGTTCCAGAGTGACATCCAGGATTCTGTTTCGCCCTTTGTTCTCAGCTGTTTATTCCCCTGTCTCATAACTCCACATCCTGTGACACTTGCTATCCCTGGCCTGCCCCAGGAGCCCAGGTGAGGCTCCATGAGTGGATCACAGCAGCTCATGGAGCACTCCCTGCTCAGCATGTCCTGCCTCACTGCGTTCCTGGGAGCACAGGCTCCCCTCTGCCATCAGCTTGGCCCCAGTGCCTGGGCTCCATGTAGTGCTGCTCGTTGAGCTTCCTGCTGACTCCTTGCTTGGGGACAGGGTGGGATCAGGGACATGGTAGCATGACCTAATTATGCACTTTCAGCCAATGCTCTGACCTTCTGCGTTTGTTTCTATCACACAAGTGTTCTGTGGTTTTGTTTCCTATGTTTATTTTTTAATGAAAGTATAAAGAATAAAATATTTCCTGAGCCAGTAGGAGTTCTGTTTCTGTTCTCTACCTTCCAGAGGTATGTTTGACTGCTGTGTGAAGGGTTTGTGCAAACCCTGTGTTAGACAGACAGCTGCTCCAGCTGTGAGATCCATGGCACAGAGACCAGCCAGGCCTGGAGGATTCCCTAATGAGGGAATTTCTTGTAAAATCTGTTGGACAAGGGCTTGGCAGCAGAGAGGAGGAAAAGACTGTGATTACAGTCAACAGCAAAATCATCAGGGGCTGAACATGAGCCCAGGTGTGCCCAGGTGGCCAGGAAGGCCAATGGCACGTGCCTTGTACCAGCCATGGTGTGATGAGCAGGACCAGTGACCATCCCTCTGTGCTGGGGTCACACCTCCAGTGCTGGGAGCAGTCTTGGGACCCTCACAAGAAGAAAGACATTGAGAGGCTGGAGCAAGTTCAGGGAAGGGAACAGAGCTGGGGAAGGGTCTGGAGCCCCAGGAGCAGCTGAGGGAGCTGGAAAGGGGCTCAGCCTGGAGCAAAGGAGGCTCAGGGGAGACCTTGTGGCTCTGCACAAGTCCCTGCCAGAAGGGGGGAGAGGAATGTCAGGCTGTGCTCCCAGGGAACAAGGGACAGGACAAGAGCAAACGGCCTCAAGCTGTGCCAGGGGAGGGTCAAGTTGGAGACTGGGGAAAATTTCCCTGAAGGGGTGGCCAGGCCATGGCACAGCTGCCCAGGGCAGTGGTGGAGTCAACATCCCTGGAAGTGTTCAGAAGACAAGTAGAGGTGGCACTTGGGGACATGGGTTAGTGGTGAATGTGGCAGTGCTGGGGAAGTGGTTGGACTCAATGATCTTGGAGAGCTTTTCCAGATTAAACAATTCCGTAATTCTGATACAGTAGAGCTGCAGTTGCAAAAATTTACAGCTCCTTTGTCCACTGTGGGCATATGGGATGAATGGAGCCCAGAATGAATTCATCTGCAAAACAAGATTCTGTTGATTTCAGGGCAAACTGCAGCATTCTGCCCCAGGAGCCTTTGATGGCTCCAAATCCTCTGTGTGCTACCTGGTCCCCCATAAATAGCTCACCACTCACTCCAGATGTTCAGGAGCCTCTCCTGACACCTTGTCCCCAAAATTGCTCCATCATTCTTTAGCCAGCGAGAAGTGGGGAAGCGAAGAAGGGAGCAGGCCCTGTTTGGGGAGTGCAGCACTCACTGGGAAGCACTCACTGGTCCCAAACATGGATCTGTCTTCACCTGTGCCACTCTGACACCTACAGAGAGACAGTGCAGGGGGAGTCCTTGGGCTCTGATACTGACCCTGGAGCTGTCAGCAGCTCCTCTCCCTTCCCTGATGAGCCCTGCTCTCCTGCAAATGAGAGCAGGGCTCAGGGGGAATTCAGCTCCAGGAGTGATGTGTCCAGTGTGTGTTTGGGCAGAAACTCAACAGTTGGGCAGATTGAAGCAGCAGCATCAGAACTGGGTCACAGCAGGATGTGACTCCACAACAATGGCCAGCACACCCATCCTTGCCTTTCCAGGACAGGATGTACTGAAGGATTTGAAGAGGAACTGGTGTTTCCAGGGAGGTAATGCACAGTATAAATCTTCAAAATGCTCTGTGTTGGTGCTGGAGTTGAGAAAATGTACAGGCTCCTGCTGAAAGCAAAACAAAGGGACAAAATGTTCTGCTTGGGAGGAAGCTGGTAGCAATTCTCCTTGGCCAGCAAGAGTGAAGCTTTGCTTTGTGAGTAATCCAGCAGAAGATGCTAAAAGGCAGATTAAGAGTGAGTTTTCAACAGAGAAAGCTCCCATGTAAGGCTCAAGAATTGGCCAAAGGTCCTGTTAGCAGGTTTTTGTTTACCTCTTGAATTGTTCACAAGGACTGTAAGGATGAGAGAAGCCACTCCAGCCACCAGCCCTGACCAAGCAGCCCAGCCCAGCAGCCTTGGCCACAAGCTGGAGACATCAGTGTGGTGTTGTGCCACTCGGGTTTCATGGGCTGGGGACCTTGTCAGAAATGCCCCATCTGGTGTTAATGTGACGGGGTGAGAGCAGATGCAGCACCTGCAGCTGTGGATTTGCATCCCCTGGGCAGGCAGAGGGCTCGCCTTCCTCCCCCCACATCTGGCTGGGATTTCGCCCCTCACGGGCTGTTTTACCCCCAAAATGAGGATGTGCTGCAAGCCCTGTCCAACCTGCCCTTGAGCACTTCCAGGGCTCCAGGGACAGCCCGTGCCAGGGGCTCAGCCGCTCCCAGGCCGGGATTCCCGGGACAGGAATATCGGGACAGGATTCCCGGGACAGAATTCCGGGGACAGGAATCTCGGGACAGGATTCCCGGGACAGAATTCCCAGGACAGAATTCCCGGGACAGGAATCTCGGGACAGAATTCCCAGGACAGAATTCCCGGGACAGGATTCCCGGGACAGAATTCCGGGGACAGGATTCCCGGGACAGGATTCCCGGGACAGAATTCCCGGGACAGGATTCCGGGTACAGAATTCCCAGGACAGAATTCCCGGGACAGGAATTCCCAGGACAGAATTCCCGGGACAGAATTCCCGGGACAGAATTCCCGGGACAGGAATTCCCGGGACAGGAATTCCCGGGACAGAATTCCCGGGACAGGATTCCCGGGACAGAATTCCGGGTACAGGATTCCCGGGACAGAATTCCGGGTACAGAATTCCCGGGACAGGATTCCCAGGACAGGATTCCCAGGCCGGGATTCCCAGGACAGAATTCCCGGGACAGAATTCCGGGTACAGGATTCCCGGGACAGAATTCCGGGTACAGAATTCCCAGGCCGGGATTCCCGGGACAGAATTCCCGGGACAGAATTCCCGGGACAGAATTCCCGGGACAGGAATTCCCGGGACAGAATTCCCAGGCCGGGATTCCCGGGACAGAATTCCGGGTACAGAATTCCCGGGACAGGAATTCCCGGGACAGAATTCCCGGGACAGGATTCTCGGGACAGAATTCCCGGGACAGAATTCCCGGGACAGGATTCCCGGGACAGAATTCCCGGGACAGAATTCCCGGGACAGAATTCCCAGGACAGGATTCCCAGGACAGAATTCCGGGTACAGAATTCCCGGGACAGAATTCCCGGGACAGAATTCCGGGTACAGATTTCCGGGTACAGAATTCCCGGGACAGAATTCCCAGGCCGGGATTCCCGCCCCGATCTCCCCGACGCTCCCGGGATGGGGAGCGGGGCGGGGACACGGCAATGACGTCATCGCGTCGTTCCGCTGACGTCACGCCGCCGGCCCCGCCTCTCGCCATGGCGGCGCCCTGCGCGGAGATGGAACCGGCGGCGCCTCCTCCGTCCCCGCCCGCTCCTCCTGCGGCCGCGCCGGGCTCTGCCGGGCTCGTGTGCGCGCAGGGCCGCAACCTGCGGGCCGTGCTGTGCCAGCGCTGCGGCTCCCGGGTGCTGCTGCCCGGCGCCGCCACCTTCGCCCGCCGTGAGGTACCGGGGGGTTCGGGGGGGGGCGGGCGGTGCCGGCCGGGCGGTGACGGTCCCGTGTCTCCGCAGCTCCTCCTGCCCGCCATGAGGAAGAAGGCGGCGGCGGCGGCGGCGGGAGGCGGCGGGGACGTGCTGCGGGAGCACTGGCTGGTGCGCGACATGTTCTCCTTCGAGAACGTGGGATTCACCCGCGACGTGGGAAACGTCAAGTTCCTGGTGTGCGCCGACTGCGAGGCGGGGCCCATCGGCTGGCACTGCCTCGACGACAAGGACAGCTTCTACGTGGCGCTGGAGCGTGTGGCCCACGAGTGACGCCGGGCCCGGGCCCCGGGCCGGGAGCTGGGCCCGGCCGCCGGGAGCCCCGCGAGCCCCGCGGCCGGACAGCGCTGCGGACCGAGCGCACTGCTCACCCCGGAGCCTGGCTGCCCACAGCCGCTGCTCCGCGCTGGGACTGCCTCACAGCCCCGCTGGTCACTGTTTCCCACATCCACAGGCTGACCCGCCTCAGGAATTGCAGCCCTGGCACGGCTAACTCCTCACCTGCACCCGCGTGGGAAGAGTGGTGCTGCTGGGAGGGTCCCTGTACCCTGCAGGAACAGCTCACCCTGACATTTTTGCCACGTAACCTGATCTGCTCCAGTCTGGCTGCTCGTTTCCCTGGTGGCTGCTGTTGCTCCAGGGGGCTGAGGTGTCTCTCGTGCTGGTGGCCCTGTGACATGTAAATGGGGGCACTGGCACAGGGTAATGGGGACAGGACTGCTGCACTGAGTCGTAGTGGCAGCTGAAACTGTCTGACCTGCAGCCAGAGCAGTTCCAAGGTTTAAGGCTGAATCTTCTGTTGATTTTCAGAAGGAATGTTCACTGCCCCAAGCTCTAACATTTATGTTCTCCAAAACCTCATCCCACCTGACAGCTGTGCTCTGTGACAGTTGTGTCACCTGAAGTGAGTGTAAGGCATCCCAACTCTCATGTGCAGTTCTATTAACTGAGTACTTGGGAAGAAAACACAAGGTTGAATGTGCAGACAGCATAGACTGATAGAGCAGACAGCAAAGAAAATGTGCCAGATCATAGAGCTTTCAGGCAGCAAAAGTGAAGAGATTCCAGCCTGAAAAGGATCTGAATCATTGGACAGGCAGTGCTGAAGCATGTCAGAACATGTGTGTGTGTTAAACAGTGATGTCAGGAAGGACATCTAAATGCTGGTGGTGAGAGTAATCTGGGATATTGTGACCAGTTTTGGTTTCTGCCTTTTGAAAGCTGGACAAGCTAATTAAAAATTGAAGGAGGCTGCAGCAGCTGTGGTTCTCCCTGCATTTATCACTGCTGGTAATCATGGCCCAGTTCATTCTCTATTGCTAACCCCTGTATGTGTGGCAGCTCTCCAGGGGTGCTCTGGGATCCCTGGTGCTGTGCCTCACTGTGGGACACCTCACTGTCCTCTGCTCATACGCACTTGGGTGCTAACCCAGCTGTGCAGGCGTAGCTGTCACTGTGCTGGGGTGATGTTCTTGTTTGTGCCATCAAACTCAAGGTGGGGTGTAGGTCTGTCCTCCCAAGGCTGTGGGAAGAACCTTTCCCTTGCCCCTCTAATGAAACAATTTTGCTGGCAAGGCTCTGTAAGGCAGGCACAACCTCAGAGGAAGCTCCCAGAAGAGGCATCCTGACAGCAGGAGGGGCAGAAACAAGTCCCTTCTTCCTGCAGTGCTTGAGCATCTGCACTTCTGAGGTTTGGAGACTCTGCCTTAATGTGTGGCCTGTTCTGGGGCTTCTCTGTCAGGAACCTCTGCTGTGGGCAGCCAGGATTTATCAGGGGAGGGAGAGGGGCAGAACTGTGGTCTGGGGGCTGAGGGTCTTGCTGAAGCAGGAGGCAAATCCTGTGCTGTGTCCTTGGTAAATGTGTCAGATGGACATTTGTCATGGAAACTGCTTCTTCCCTCCTGCCCTCCCTGTCTCTCAGCGCTAAGCCCCAAGGGCTGCACAGGTTCATCAAGGAGATGTGCCTCAAAGGACAAGAGAGCTTCACTTGGGTTCTGCACAGGCATGGCAAAATGGTGGGATCACATCACTAATTTCACACTTTGATTTGCATTGCTGTATCTTAGGGTATGTGTTCTGACTTGTAATACCCCACTTATAGTCCATGTTACTTCAATATGCTGTGCTGCACAAGCTGCATTTTGAAGGCACCACTGTGCAGAACAGACTGGAAGTCAGCTTGGTTAATGCTGAATAAATGACCTCCAAAAATGGTACACGTGTATTCCTGAGTAGTGGGTGGCACTGGGATGGAGCTGGGTGGGGTGGCAGCTCTCCCAGTCAGAAGAGCAGCCCTGGAGAGATGGGAGAGCTCAGGTCAAAGGCCTTCACATTGCAATGGCAACAACTGAAATCCACCTCAGCACAGCACTTGGAGTCCTGTGAGCTCCTGCTCCTCTTCGGTGGGAGGGGGAGGTGAATCCTCCATGGATTCCAGGCGTGCTTTCTGCTGACTCTTAAATATTAAATAGGATCACAAAGACTTGAAATACCGAGAAGAAATGAACAGTCCGATGGGAATTCTTGAGAAGAAGCTTTTGTACCATGAGATCTTGAGGGTCATTCAGCCTCAGGTAGGGTCTTGTGTTCCTGCAGCTTGGAGAGGCCATGAGAGACACCCCTGCAGTGCAGGTGATGGGACAGCTGTGCTAATTCATGTTCCCTAAGGTGACTGAGAATTTCAGGGAGGGTGGGCAGGAAGTGGGGAGGAGGCAGCATCACTGTGGAATTCCATTTCAGGCAGCTCCACTGTGCTGTTTATGGAGCTTTGTGGGAGGAGTGTCCCAGTCAGCAGCCGAGGCCTGGGGGAAGAACAGCTGCTGCTCCACTGGACACATCACCAGGTCTAGGATCTGCTGAAGCTGCACCATTCCTGTGTCAATGGGAGCTAATAAAAACTCACATAGACTCACAAATATGTAATTGCTTTTTATCCAGCATGTTGAAAAGCTGTTTTCTAGTTCCCTGCAGTAATGCTAGAAAATAAGGATAGACACCCCTCAGTCATGGGAAGCACTTACATAGGAAAAGCTCATCTTTCTCTGTCAACACCAAGACAGTGCAGAAACCCTTATTTCCACGTGTAGGTCACTTTAAATTAACTTGAAAATGGGTTCTTCTATTTAATGTCTGCATAGATTTGACTCCTGAGACCATCCTGTGTTAAGATGTAGCAGTGCCTGGAGAGGAAACAGTAACATCATGTATCCCTTGCTCCAGCCAATCCCTCCAGCAAGGTCCAGGGGGGCAAGTAATAAAAATTTTGTCTAATTGCTTCCCAGTGTGGATTTAAGGCATGCCTGGTATGCGTGAGTCAAGTGTTTATATGTCATGAATGTGTTCAGGATGGTTAAAAGCATACCTTGCTCCACTCTGGCTCTGGTGTTGGGATGGGTTCACAGCCCAGAGCCGTGGGCTGGGCTTGGCTGACATTGGCACCTCCTGTAGCTTCACCTCTCTGCTCCCATTCCCACCCAAACCTCCCACTCCAGCAGCTGCTGAATGTTCAATTTGATAACTTAAGCTAAAGCTTCTTTTCTTGGCTGCTGGGTTGCACATGGGAGTTTGGGTGCAGTGTGTGAGATGTGAGATGCTCCAGGGGCAGGGGCAGGATGAAGGCCCTCCCTCCTTTTGGCAGCTGCAGTGAGATCAGCTGAGCTGCCCTGGAGAACAGCCACAAGTTATGCATTGCACAGAGGTCACAATCACACTCTTCCTTCCCTAAATTAATTACATTTCACTGAATCAGGTAAGTGGTGCATGGAGCAGGGGCTGGGATTCAAGGCTCCCTCTTTCCCAAGCTCTGCAAGTCAGCCAAAGGCCTTGGTGCCTGAGCCTGCCAAGACCTGAGGTCTCTCATTGATTCCTCACCTCTTACTGAAAGAATCTTGAGAAGAGCAGTGATGACAGTGTGGACTTTGAAGCAGTAGCTTGGGGAACTTTGCTGTTTGCTTCCCTGCTGTATCCTAGGGCTAAATCCTTATGGAGGAGCCCAGCAGGGATGAAAGTGAGATCACTGTGACACGTGCACAGTGTCTGTGGGACCTGCTGCCTGCAGGTGTGGAGGGAAATGGCTCAGCAGAGCTCAGAAAAGAGCTGTGGTTGATGAAAGCAGGGCCAGCTTGGTGAGGGAGGGGGTTGTGGCATCCCCTGTCCTGCACAGCTCACCTTGCTGCATTCCCTAAACCTCTGTGTTAGCAGGGACTGCCCCATCAGCATGGGCAGTTCTGCATGGAGATGTTTGGGGGAACAGGGATTTCTGAAATGCTTTATGAATTTTCCTGAAGGTCATTTTACATATCTGACATTATACTCTCTGGCAGGAACGTAAGTAGGAGGAAAGGAAACAATTGAGATGAAATAGCTCCGGGGTCCTTGGACAACTGGTGCAGGGAAAGCATCCCTGCCTCCCACAGAGTCAGGTGAATACAGGCCAAACTCCATAATCAAAGAAACACTAAACCTCCAAGTATTTTGCCAAAAACCTACCAAATATTTTGAAGCTGCTTGGGGACACAAAAGGAAACCACAGCAGATGAGTGGAACCAGCCATAAAACTGCAGAGAGAATATGAGGGGTTTTATCAAAGCCAGCTTTGTTCTCTTTCAACCAACACTTTTATGCATTTCAGCATAAATACTTGAGTGCTGAGTTGTGAGGCAGCCAGGTCCCTTGGTGCAGCTTTGGTATGAGCACAGCGGGGCCCCTCGGTGACAGTGAGGGGAGAGAAGGGGGAGATGGCAGCCCAGCAATCCAGGTGAGAGCTGTGGGGCTGGATGGGGGAGAGAAGACGGATTTCTCAGCAGTGTGCTTTGGAGTGAGTGCCCCAGCACCTGAAAATGACCCAATCTTGCACAAAGTGAAAATTAAGTGCTAGGCTCTCTTCACAAAATCCCTGAGGATGAGTGAGCAGGTTCTGGGGTTGCTGAGATTACACTTCCATCCTCTGAGAGGAGGAAGCAGCTCTGGAAAAAGTGTTTCTTGGATCTTTTCTAAAACTCAAGCATGGCACAGTCCCAGTGGTTGCTGGAGTTTGGCTTTTGAAGTGCTGCACATCGAACACTGGGAGAGCTGCAGGGGTGGGAGCACCTGGGGGGGAGTATCTGTCCCTTGAGCATCCCAGGGCCATTTTCTGGGGGCCTAAGACATGAGCTAGTTAGACACAGCTTCTGCCTGGAGAAAGGCAGTGGCCCTTCCCTCCTTGGCCTCCTTGGCAAGGTTCTCAGCCGTGTGGGCTGAGCTGGACAGGGCAGCCCCAGGCAGGTTTGGAGCCCAGAAATGCAGCTGGACCTGGCAGTGGGGCATGTGCTGCCACAGCAGCCATGCAGCTGCACAGGAGGCCAAAGCAGAGAGCCAGAGCTGTGTGTTTCCTGCAGCCCCAGCTGTGTGTGGCAGGACAGGCTAGAGCTGCCAGCGAGGTCTGTCCTTCACAAGTAGAGCAATCAGGTGTAATTTGTGCGTTGATGGGATCCGCGTGTCCCTGAGGCGAGAGGCTGCGCTGGGAGGATTCCCCCGTGGATGTGTTTGTCCCTGCTTCTCCTCGCTGGGGAAGCAGCAGGGAGTGTGTGTATGCTCAGCTGGGCTTCTGCCCTCCCTTTCGTGTTCCTTATCTTCCAGGAGGCCCTGAATTCCCTGGGAGCAGACAGACAGTTGCTGTAATCGCTGTGCGTGCAGAGGCAGAGTGCTCCCGTCTGCTCGCTGCCAGGAGTCCCCTGTGCCATTGTTCCAACCCAGCTGGAAGAGATGCCCTGAGAGCAAGGGAAAATGAGCAAAGCCTTGTCAGCACAGGTATCCTTCCCCTCCTCAAGCAGCTGGCTCTGCACACTGCCTGGAATGCTGTGAACAGCAGGCTCTTTCCATGGCAAACATCCAGACCACATTGCAGAATCGCCGTTTAATTTGGAATATCTGGCAGTAGAACATGAGGACATGGCTTCAAGACCTTGTTGCCTCGTGCTTTCCTCTTCTTTTGGAGGACTTGGTTCTCTGTGCCAGATCATGGCAGGTCCAAGGGCTGGCACCAAAAAATGCCAGGACTCAGCAAATAGAACCCAGCTGCTGAAGAGGAAGGATGCTTGGAGAAAGGAGCAGCTTTGGGCTCCAGAGGGAGAGATCTCCCTTGGTAAGGAATACTGAAGTGTGAAGGCTGTAGCTGTGCATCAGCAGCAATCTGGGGGCTCTGCCCTTGTCAGCTCAATCCCAGGTGTCTCAGACTGGCTCTGGTGCCAGTGCTCCACAGGCCCTCTCACAGGCCAGCACTGCTCAGGGGGATCTGGTTCCATCCCTTTCCTCAAGGCCCCTGCTAGGATATGGGGATTTCTATTGGAAACTCAGTATGCTGGCACCAAAAGGTAATGTCTTGTGTGTAGCTGGATGGTACCCAAGACACAGCCCCTGATTTTGGGAGAGGTCACAGTGCCCAGTGCTGCACGTACTCAGGGCAGCACAACATAAATTGTAGTTTACTGGGACCCTCTGGCTCACTCCTTGGCACCCCCTTCACAGACAGTTTGTGCTGCTGATCCAGCTAAACTGGATGTGAAATTGGTCTTGACACAGAGTTAAGTGAGAAGAGGTTGTTGGCATGTGCAGCTGCACCACAAGGCCGGTGCAGTGCAGAACTGGGTGTCCTGGTTGTTGTGCAGTGCACTTGCAAAGCATCTCTGCCTTGTCCATGCATCCCTCTGCAGGTCACTGGACTGCCTGCAGTTCTCCAGCTCCACAGGGTTAATGGAGACATGAATGCTCAGCTCTGTCCTGGTGCCCTGCTCTTATCCATTGGTGTCACCATGAATTCCCAGAGGGTCTCCAGTCTGAGAGTGCACTGAGGAGATTTTGTTCCTACCTGCTTTACTGGTCAGCAATCCATGGGATTCTCAGTACAGCCACCCTGTGTGCTCTTTGAGTAGCAAGACCAACTCAGATCTGTGACACTTCCAGCCTCTGCTGACTACCACAGATGGATACAGCCCTGCCAGTGGAGTCTGGACTGTGGATGTGTCATGGTTTAACCCCAGCTGGCAGCTAAGCATCAACACAGCCCCTCATTCCCACCCCCCCTCCAAACTGTGATGGCAAGAGAAGTAGAAGGTGAAAGTGAGAAAACAGGTGGGTTGACATGAAGACTGTTAATGAAAAAGATTTTTTTTTAAAATGTGAGGGAAAAAAAACAACAAAGAGAGGAAAATAGAAAACAAGAAAAACAAGTGATACAAGA